TTAATAAATACATCGTTTGGTAAGACAAATAACATGTATATTCATTGGATGATATAAACATAAGATGTTTTATCAAAGGCTAAAGTGTTTAATGGTCTTCATTAGACGAAATTTTCTCTAGAAAGCTTTGCTTGATATAACACTACATTGAATGAAAAATTTCTTTCAACCTTAGTGTTATATAAGAGATAAACTTTTGTTTCATAAGAAGCTAGCTTGTTTTGTTCATAGTTTATTGAGATTTCAATGAGAGATACTTTCTTTTAGATGATTTATGTTTTTCTAGTTCATTTAAACAATTTGGTTTAGAAAACATTATTTATACTCTTAGCATTAGAAGTTGTAAAATGCTTTTTCATTAGACGTTATTAGTTTAACCAACTTTTCGTATGTAGCAATATTTTGTTTAATGTTTTTTGTTAAACTTTAAAATCTAAATTGCTTAAACTATCTATTCTCTAAACAATTTTATCTTAATAAATAATATTTTTAGTCTTTATATTTATAATAATAATTTAAAATATTTTTTACTTCACATGATTTTTATATTTTTAGTCTTATAATAATAATTTATCCTATCACATTAAGTAAAAGGTAAATAAAGAAAAAAAATGATAAATCATCCTTACCGATAATAACGTAAACACGCATATGTGTATACATATTTTTAAATATTTACAAATTATTTAAAATTTTAAAATAGTAATTAAAAGAGTAAAATGAAAAAGAAATAAAAAAATTATATAATTATAGATATAACTATAGATAAGATAAATTTTAGTTATTGAAATAAAAAATATTATAAGTCATATTGTATACATAATTGTTTTGACTATAAGTAATTATTTAAATTTGAAAAAGTAGTTATTAAAATGATAAATAAGTAAATAATTATTTTGTAATAATAGTTATTTGAATTCAAAAAATAATTACATAAAATTGAAAACTAGTTTTTTATTAATTATCATTTAAATTTAAAAATAATAATTAAGAAAGGTGAAATTGAAAAAACAAAAAAGAAGAACACGTGTATCTCTTTATGTATAGTTATAGAAAAGAATTTAATATGCTATTAAATCTAAAATTTATAAAGTTTTTATTAAAATTTTAGGTAGAAGTTGAAAAATTCTTATTTAGCTTTTAATGTATATAAGACCCAAAAAGAAGTACTCTTTAAAAAAAAATCAAATCATTGAAATTATTTTAAAAACTCTTAAATTCTCTTATTTTAGCATATAAGAAAAATAAACACCAAAACATTAAGAATCAGTCAAACATGAAATTTCACAATATATCAAATCCTAACTGCACCAATGAATTTGAGTTCAAAATTCTAGACAAATATATAACAATGTATAATCATATTAACACTTAGCCAAAATAATTTTAATTATGTTCAATGTAATCGAATATGATGAATATTTTATTAATTGATGGATTGCGAATATAAGTATGTACTACAATTTTCTTTTATATCAATTAAAGTAATTAAACACTCTTATCAAGATTTAATTAATTAACAACTCATTAAAATTAAAGAGGTTAATTAATGTATTTAATAATATTAAATGTGCCAATAAAAGAATCACTCGTTTCTTTAAAGATCACGCTTAATATTTATATGACATATTCTACTTTTTAAACATTTAATTCTTTAATTTCTTTTCACTAATGCATTTATTTTCTGAATTTCAAAGGTTGTGGTTAAATTATCAAACAATTGACATATCTATTCCATAATATTACAAACCAAAATCATCAAATACTAATAAAATTTAGTGACTGTGAATAAATAATTATTATATTTTATAAAGATATTTACAATAATTCTATTATTAATAAAAAAAAATTATAACTAATTTGTATATTAAAGTCTAAATTAATCTATAATATAAGTTAAATTTTAATTATTTATTATTATTGATTTAAAATAAATATTAATTCAGAATGGTAAGTAATTGTGTGACGTCCTAAAATATATAGAAAAGTATATATAATAAAGATGTCATCATGCATAATATAGAAAAGCAGTCAAGAGTAATCAAGGATTACAGTCATCCTTAAAGTAACTTCAGAAATTAAACTTCAACTCCAAAAAGATCTAAACTGTAAACTTAAAGGGAAACAATGTTTTCAACTACAGACAATAATTCAATAACATCCTAAGGAGACTAGGCAGCAACATTGTCCTCAACTTCCAAGGTCGTCTCCAAAAGAACCTCCTCTCCATCTGCTCCCACCCAAGTGGATGATCATCGCAAAAGAAACATACACAAGCAACCCAAACAAGCAAGGGTGAACTATATATAAAAAGCATGTTATTCCACCAAGCACGACATGCAAAAATCACTCAAACATGGTAAAATGACATCACAAGACTTGTTACTTTATAAACCGACTCGTCCGGACTAGAATGATTACCGAGCTATGGCGGGTTATGCACTCGTGGTGGCCTCTACTGCTTTGCAAAGCCATTGCCAATGGGTTCCACCCTACCACACTCACGAGGTTAGTCTGTTCTGCGCCCTGGAGCATACTGGAAGCCTCCAAGACTAGGACCTCCTGCTACTACTCACCACATGATTCAATCATCTCTACTTGAGAATGATTGATCATTGTAGTTTCAGGAAAAACCCCAAAACTGAGCTACCATGCAATCATTCTACACACCACCAGGACACCACCATGTATCCTCTCCTTGAGGATCATGGAATTACGTCCATGAACCATACTTGTTACACTTACGCCAATCACAACTTTGTTTCATACATACTTCCAAACTATAATTCACACACAATACAACATACCCTCAATCATGTTGCAAAATCAAGCCACCCAAATCAATTATATAGACATACATACACCCTAGCAGTCAATCAACATCAAACAGCTCAAACAGATGAGGAAAAATGTGAAACTTATTGAACCAAGTCGCACAGCGCACCAAGGTGCAAGGCAAGACAGCAAAAATTCGCACAGCGCACCACCCTTGGTGCGCTGAGCGAATTTTCCTGACGGGGGGAGTGCTTTTCAGCTAAAATTCGCATAGCGCACCACCCTTGATGTGCTGAGCGAATTTTCCTGACAGAGGGACAACTAAAATTCGCATAGCGCACCGAGTCTGTGCGCTATGCTAAACTGAAAATTCTGATACACATTATCAGACCATAAACCCTCGCATAGCGCCCCAAATTCGCTATTCGAATTAATTTGGCTAATTTCCCAGGCTAGCAGCAGTCGCAAAATGACTACATTCGCTACGCGACTTACCAAACAAAGAGCAACCCTATGTTATAATTCGCATCGCGCACAGAGTCGCTATGCGAATGCCCTGGCAGAGAGCACCTCGCTAGGGCGACTCGCTGAGCGAAAGGCTTCACTCTGCGAATCTGCAAAATCTGCAGAATGAAATTCTGCAGATTCGCACAACTTAATCACTCCAAACTCATTTTAACCATTTTGTTGAACTTCTAACACCCCCAACTCGAAGTATATATTGAATTAAACATGTCTAACTAATTCTAACCATTCATAACATCTTTTTAAAGTGATTAAGATCAAGTTTTATCTTTTAAAACATCAATTTCTATACTTAAGGACCCAATTTCGGTTTTACCATTTTTAACATGTTTTATGATCCTAATAAGTCACAATTGATTTGCCTAAGATATCCAAACAACTCAAATGTGCCCAAAACCCCTACTTCCCAAAATCACTACCTCACTTCCTCTCAAGGTCACCTAAAGCACTACCAACCCTCTTAACTTTCAACTTACAGCTGCTACCTCAGATTTCACCCATCCAACATCCTCATTGCAGTCACACAACATGTTAAAATCAGCTCACAAGCATTCATTCACAGGTTCACAGATGAACATATCAGCACATATTATTCCATACACTTAAAACTTATAAACGTAACTCAAACAACACAATGATGTATAACTTAGTCCATACACCCAACATATAACAATTCATAAGAAAGTACTCTAGCTTCCCTTACCTCAGAGTTGTATTACCAAGCTCACAAGGACGTCCATTTTTGGTATCTCACACACGCGAACTCAATCCAAACCCTACAAACCACCAAAGTGGTGACAACAACAACTCTTAGAGCTTGATTTGGCAGAAACAGGAAAACGAAACCCCCTAGTAACATACAACCAGTAATGTTGCATGCTCTAGGTTCGAAGATAGTGAAAGAGAAGGGAAAAACGACTTACCAGTCCAAACGAAAATACGATCGGTTCAAAAGGAAGCCTTCGGTATGGTGAACGTTTGAGCACCTTTCAACCAAAGATTGAACGGTTCAGAGAGCTGGAAATTTAGAGAGAAGGCAGAGAAGAGTTTAGGGTAAAGAGTCTTAGAGAGAGAAGAGCTTAGAAAATAAAAAATTCTGAGGAGCCCTTCCTAAAATTAGGTTGGCCTTAGTCTGATGGGCCTGGCAGCCCCACATAGGACCCAATGGCCTAAAACTTTTTCAGACTCTTACAAATTGGAACATTGATAACGAACATTACAAACTAATTATAATTTTTTTACTAATAATTTCTTTTAATAAGTATAAAAACTATATTAGATATTAATAAATTTTAGTTTATAAAATGATATTTAACTTAGATATAATGATTAGTTAAATTTTTTATCGTTTTTATTTAATAATATTTTTATAGTGTATATCTTATATATTGCATTAAGAATATTTGTATATAATTATAATGAATACCCAAATATTTATAGAAATAACTTTAATACATTAAGTCACTTCTATTTCTATGACTTATACATCATATGTCATCCCTTATATATTAATTTCTAAATAATAAATAAATCAAAAGATCAATATTTTTAACACTATTCAATATCTATTAAAAAATTAACAAGGAAAATACGCACAAATGAATTTACTTAGTTCTAAAAATACCGAACTAAAGTTTTAATTTATTCTTATAAATAAAACAACAACGAAAGTTACTTCCTGCTTCTTCGTTTTATACCTTTCCCTTGTCATCATTTTCGAAGAGGGAAAAAGGAAAAAAAAAAAAGAAAAGATACTGCGAGGTAACACCGCAAGGAAGCAACGGAAATGTGCATGACAGCCTTTATCTGATTGTGACCTCCCTCCTTTGTTCCTCTTTCCCTCCGTCATCATCCCCAAACTCCATACGGCGCCGTTTCCCTTTAATCTCTTCTCTCTCCGATGCGTTTCCCCTTCTCATTCCGCTCTGTCGTTTTCCTCGCGCTTTGCTTTGCGCCGCGACTCTTCCAGTCAACGCTACCGTTTCGCTCCTTCTAATCGTCGTTTTATCGGTTCATCCGCATAAAGCACTTTCCTCGCACGCTTTCCTTTTTCACTCTCTCACTCGGCGCCTCCATTTCATTCCGATTTTCTTTCAACTCTTCTCTAGAATTCGGCCGAATCCCGAACTGTTGTTTCGTTGACGATAACACGTATTCGATTTTTGTTTTTCTTTTCTTTCTTGAACTGTTTAGGTTTCCAATTTCATCGCTGTGAAATGATTGCTATTGTTATTTCCTTGTTTTGCAGCTTTCAATCGATGGTTTTTTATGCGTGATCGCGGGAATTAGGTTAGCTGATGTTCCTTTCTCGCTTTACAAGCAAAGCGACTGTATGCGTTGTATTTTTAACATTTTGTTTTTAATTTAGGTTAATTTTTTTTAACATATTTAGTAAAGGATGATAATTATGTATGGTTTTGGAAGTAAGCTTCGCTTCGCTTTGATTCTTCGCAGATTACCAATGGAAGTGGCTGACTCTAGAGCATCCTGATTTTGGCGTTGCAAGGAGGAGAATTTGTTTTCAGTCAAATTGTTTTTGAAGGTAGTGTATATATGTGTGTGTGTTTCTGTGGTGGTGGAGTTAGATTAGTTAGATGTTATTGTTATCTGACCAGAACGATGTCTTGAAGGTCCGGGCGACTGTCTGCCGTAGTTGATGGAGCGGCCTGGAAGCTTAAATGGCAGTCAGCATGTGATAGAAATAGGTGGGAGTTCCGATGCTTCTACTTCAACTGCGACACATCATGATAGCAATTTTAATGGCACACATGTTACGCTACACGAAGAAAGAGTTACCGGTGCAAGGTCGCCTCTATCTCAGCCTTCAGTTTCAGTCACTAGTTTATCAAATGGGTCTAATAGTCGGAATTCCTCGTTCATGAGACGCGGGGATACGCGTAGGAATAGGAGTCCGGTGCATTCGGGGTTGTGGATATCGATTGAGCTGGTCCTCTTAGTGAGCCAGATTGTTGCATCTATCGTTGTTTTATCTTTGTCAAGGCATGAACATCCTCGTACTCCATTGTTTCAATGGATCATTGGTTATGCTTCCGGATGTGTTGCTACCCTCCCTCTGCTTTATTGGCGGTATTATCATCATAACCATGCGAGAGAGCAAGATTCATCTCAATCAAGGCAAACATCTCCTCGGATTAATGATCCTTCAGGGACACTCCTTTTCAGTTCCAGAACTAGTGGTGGAGAAGATGGTCAGGCTGTTGCATCCTCCAGAAGCAATCAAGCCTCTGTGTTGATGAATAGAAGGTAGTTAATTAGTTATGATTCTCACCTTGTTTATACAATGTTAGAATGTCACCTTTTTCCTTTCATGCTGAATACAATTGTATCGAAAATTGCTGCTTTAGTCTTTAGAATTATATGAAGTTAATGTGCATTCATATGTTGAACAAAGTTTGTATGTTAGACTCATAATGCTGACATATTCGCTTGTATAAAGGTGTTCTTGAAGCATATAACAAAGAGTGTAGGTGTTTTTACTTTTAATTTGTGATGAAAGCGTGATACTGATTACTGGCTTAAAGAATTATTGAGATTGATTTTACCCATAATAGTTATGGAAGAAGTTAAAGTGTTTTTTATTTCCTGAAAACTGATATGACGGAAATATCTATATCTAATGTTTAAGTATTCTTTGGCCTATCCCATGCTAGTTGCCATGTTCCTCGACTTGCTATAATTTCACTATTTATTCGTTAGATTTATAATTTCAATGTTTTATTTCATGGTTATAACTTGCAAGTATTTGAACTTGTAATAGCTTATGAAGCTGCTAAGTCCTTGTTATTCTTGCAACACAGAATGAAGACTCTAGTGGAATATTTCAAAATATCTTTAGATTGCTTTTTTGCTGTATGGTTTGTTGTTGGAAATGTATGGATCTTTGGGGGACATTCGTCTGCTGATGAAGCTCCTAACTTGTACAGGTATAGCCTTTAATTCACTCTGGCATTAATCTTTTTGTTTTTCAGAGTCATAAAATTATATCTGTTCCATTTCACTTGGCAGGTTATGTATAGTGTTTCTTGCATTTAGCTGTATTGGTTATGCTATGCCCTTCATTCTCTGTTCAACAATCTGCTGTTGTCTGCCATGTATAATTTCCATCCTCGGGGTTAGAGAGGACATGTCTCAAAACAGAGGGGCAACTTCTGAATCTATTAATGCTTTGCCAACTTACAAGTTCAAGATGAAGAAAAATAAAAGAAATGGAGAAGGCAACTCAACTGAAGGTGGAGTTGTGGCTGCAGGAACTGAAAAAGAGCGAGTAATATCTGGAGAAGATGCAGTAAGTACCATCTGATTTATATATATATATATATGTGTGTGTGTGTGTGTGTGTGTGTGTGTGTTTGTGTGAGTTATACTTTACTCCATCTTAATATAATTGAATTTCTGAGAAGAGGTGCTTGTTTGTAAACCCTCGCTAATGTGTTTTAGGTGAACAGAGGTTAAGAAGAATATGCCCCAGATGGTTTCTGTTAGTGTTTTGAAGTAGTTAGGGACCTCAAACTGAATTAGGGGAGTTAAGAAGGGGAAATGAAACCTCCAATTCTGGTAGTTGGGAAAAGGAGGGAAACAGGAGAATGAAAAAGGGGGTGTAGTGTGCATTGTATGACAGGGTATGAGAAAAGGGGAGAGTGATTTGAGGGTTTCAACTCTCTGACAATTGGTACAATCTAGACCATGTTTGTAAAACATGCATTTCCATGTAATAGTGATGGAAGAGTGGGAAGGAAGGGGGAAATGATGAGATGCTGGATGAAGGAAAGATTATCATAGGTGTAAATCATGCACGACAGCACTGTGATTTAAGGATAGTGGAGTGGAGATCTGAGAGGTATAAAGCTGTTATGTACTATTGCTCCATAGAAATGTATGCACTGTAATTTTAGGATATTGGAGTGGACACCCAAGAGGTATACCGATATATGTATAAAGCTGTGATGTACTATGTATGCACCATAGAAATGTATTACTTCTTTCTAAGATTGCTTGATCTGTGAGGTAGGTGCAATGATACATGTATAAGCTGATGGCTCTGCACAGAAGTAAATAATTGTTACCTTTAATAGTATCTATAACTGAATCCTAACAGATCAACAAGTGCCAACAAATCTACATGAGAGGACTGTACATATCCATCATCCTCCTCCCTGCAAAGATTGGTTGAGTTGGAAGAAACCACTTGTCTCTTGGAAGTTGAAATCTAGGTCTTAGAGTGACTTGATGAGCTCTCATAAATTTGCTCTGCATCAAGGACCTTTTCATGAACAAAATGTATTTCTATTTCCATGTTCTTGGCGTGAGCATGTAGTATGACAATATTATGACATTAAATAACTGAAAGATGGAACTAATATAGTCCGAGTTCAATCTGTTAGGATTGAATCCAGAATGTATTCTACAATGGAACGCCATGTTCCTGAGTAAGTCTTGAGAATAGGATGATCTGCATTTTTGCAGCTTTGGAGATTGAAATCATTTAGCCAACATTAAGGTGGAAGGACAACATAATCTGAAGAAGGATGATGAACATCATGATCTAGCTTATTGCACAGTTGGTCTTAGACTTTGGGCTTGATTCAATGTTCTAAAACTATTTATATGGTGAGGATTGACAATGCCTCATAAGCATTGCTCGACTATGTTTCTGAGCCATGTGAGACTGGACACTGCCTCAGACCTAGCAAAATGAAGGTGCTGGAATTTGCAATGAAATAGACCAAATAGACTTCAATTAATGTAGCTTTTCAAAGCAGCTCCTAACACCTGAGAATGTGGGTGGCCCAACAATAGATCTAAGATAGATTTTGATACCATTTTAAAATTCAGATTTTAAGACCTAATTCAACTTCACAAAATTGATTTGTATGGCGGGAATTATACAAATCTTAGAAAGAAGTGCTACATAGGCCGTATCTCTAGGGTAAGAGGAACTAAACGTGGTACCTCAGCAAAATGAAGTGATGGAAGTTGCAATGAAAGAAAACCGAAGAAGCCACAATTAAAGTGGGCTATGGGTGAATGCACATATGAAAGCTTTCCGACAGTTGACATTGATTAGAACTTCTGTGACCTCCATCGTGGCCTCCTTTATTTCTACCAGTTTGGTTTCCTTGGCCTGATCATCTTAAATTGTAGAAATTTGAGTATTGTTGGCCTTGAGAAGAATACAAGTGTGATGAGGTAGCGGCTGACATGTTCCTTTCCAATCGAACTACATTAGTGAGGAATAGATCCTAAGCCTCATCAGTTGTGCAAGGATCACTCATTCTTCATTGTGGTGGCAGTACTTGAATCCATTCAAAGGCCATCAAGAACGACTCTGAGAGACTCTCGAACAGAAACTGGACAACCAGCTGAGACAAGTGAATCTTTAGGAACTTTGATACTCAATAGATAGGCGCATATACTTCTCCCTTTGTATTTCTAAGTTTTCATCTTAACTCAAACCATGGTTAAAGTTTGAGTGTGGAAGAACTTTTTAATTTCTTCCCAACGTTTCCCCAAGTGTATGTGTAGTCTACAACTCCTGTGGAAGCAAATCCAGAGATGAGAGGAGTCATTCTTCCATTTTGACATATATTTTAAAATTCAAGCATGCTGAGAAAATGATGTAAAAGCACAAAAGAGAGAACTGTTGGGCATAGAGAATGGGAGAGAAGAGTTTTGCATTTTAAGTTGTAATGTTTCTCACCAAAACAATGTGAAATCTGGGAGGTACAATGATATATATGAGTTGACAGGCTTGATCTGGGGGCAACTAGTGCTGTTACAGTTGACAGTAAAGTAACTTAATCCGAAGTTCTTAACAGTGCAACAACTGACGACAGATGCTATGGCTTTACAAGAGACTTTAGATAGAGCTGTATATATCTCTGTAGAAGATGGTAATAAAATCTTGATGACCCCCAATTATTGGCTTTGCAGCTTAACCCGAAATCCTAATTTCATCCAAAAGGCTTGTTACAGTAAAGTAACGAATCCTAAGTTCTTAACAGTGCAACAACTGACGACAGATGCCTACGGATTTACAAGAGACTTTAGATAGGGCTGTATATATCACTGTAGAAGATGGTAATGAAATCTTGATTACCCCAATTGTTGGCTTTGCAGCTTAACCCAAAATCGTAATTTCATCCAATAGGCTTGATTTGGGGGCAACAGATGCTGTTACAGTTAACTGTAAAGTAACTTAATCATATGTTCTTAACAGTGCAACAACTCCCAACAGATACTATGGCTTTACGAGAGACTTTAGATAGGTTTGTATATAACTCTGTAGAAGACAGTAATAAAATCTTGATTACCCCAATTATTGGCTTTCCAGCTTAACCCAAAATCCTTATTTCATCCAAAAGGCTTGATCTGGGGGTAACTAATGCTGTTACAGTTAACAGTAAAGTAACTGAATCCTAAGTTCTTAACAGCGCAACCACTGCCAGCAGATTCTACGGCATTGCAGGAGGCTTTAGATAGGGCTGTATATATCTCTATAGAAGATGGTGATAAAATCTTGATTATCCCAATTATTGGCTTTTCATCTTAATCCAAAATCCTAATTTCATCCAAACTCCTTTCTATTGCTAGTGGTTCAAAATAACTGTTGATGTTACTGAGTTACAGGAAATATTGCCCTTAAGAGACTTTGTCATATTGAAATTGTATTAGCTTAGCACACAATCTCTTTGCGTTGACGGGGATTGTAATTATTCAAAATAGAGGGCAGAGTAATATATTTTTAAATATAACCTTGTGTTTTGATAGAAAATTTTACAATTTCCAAACAATTCAAATATGTTGAATTTGAATTGCTTTCATTTTAAATTGTTTTTAAGTTTTCAAATATTTTGGGTGGATAAAACAATTCAAATTTATTGAATTTTAATTTTCTTGTTTGGAAAGAGTTTTCAATTACCATCAATTAAACTGGTGACATTGATCTACTAACAATTTCTTCAAACATTGACCCAAAAATAACCCTCAACTAAAAATAACTCCATTGACCAATGTCGATAAAATACTGACAAAAGTCAACAGAGAAAGGTCTACCTTGACAGATAAATTAGTCCAATAATGTCAATTGGAAAACAACTCCTATCAAGGTCGACTAAAATATTTCACTTACATCGGTTGGAAAATAGTCTCATTGCAGTTGACAAAAGAAAACAACATCCTTGTTGGCTTCGGTAGGAAAATAATTCTGCCATTGTTGGTCAAGAAGACCTAGATTAACATTGGTTGAAAAATAATTCTTACATTCTGAACGACATTGGTCCACAAGCTACCCTGAACCAACATCAACTGGAAATAATCCCAATTGATGTCAACAGAAAAATTGTTCGATATTAGTTGAAAAACACCACTAATGTTGACAAACAAAACCTTGACTTGCGAAAGATGAGAAAAACAGCTTTGGTCCATGTAGGTGGAAAAAAACCTGTGGTGGCAACCAAGAAATAACCACAATCCACAATTGACTTTAATATGAAAGAAACCTCTGCGTTCATTAGTTGAAAAATTATGAGCTGAAATGTCCCAACCGAAGCTGCCTCGATGTTGTCCCGACCAAGGTTGGGCTGAAGAGAGAATATGAAGACAAAAGACATTGGTTTAAGACAAGAAAAAGTACGAAGAATTTCATAATTTGACTTTTTAGGTGGAATTTGAAATTTTCTAATGAGTAATAAAATTAATCTCAAATTATTTGAAATTAAATTTTTCTTAAATTCCCCATCAGCAATATATTTGTCATAAAACATTTCAACTTTTCTATAAAAATGAATTGTCCACTAAATGTTTCCCATCCAAACACACTGTAAGGGAGAATAATATCATTTTAAAAAGTAGAGGGGAGAGTAATATAGTTTAGGCATCTCTTGGGCAAGGATTTAATTTACGAACTAAATATCATCCTTAAATTGTCAGGTTACGCTGTTCAGTTATGTTAGATTTGCTATGATAGCACTTGTATCTAATCAAACTTTTTATCTGGGCTATGGACAAACAAATTTAGGCTAGTAGGCTTCTTGGTATGGTAGTGCTTATTTAGTTGCGGTAGCACCTTAAAGTTTTTATTAGACTATTATTTCATTGTTGCTATTGAATTTATAATAATGTAAAGTGTTTGAGCCTAAAAAGACCTTGTATATAGAGATTTTTTTGTTTGTCAGCTACTTATGATTGAAACTCCTATTATTCTTTTGTGGTTTTCGACAGGTATGCTGCATCTGTCTGGCAAAGTATGAAAATAACGATGAGTTGAGAGAATTGCCTTGTTCTCATCTTTTCCACAAAGATTGTGTGGATAAATGGTTGAAAATAAATTCATTATGTCCTCTTTGCAAGAATGATGTTGGTGAGAACTTAACAGGATTGGTCTCAAGTGAAGATGCCAACCAACATCGGAATGAGAGCAGGATTGAGAATGGCCTTGCGAATACATCACTTTAGTTGAGAGTTATATACAAATATACAATTGGATCCACCCTCTCATTTTCCTTGAGAATTGGATAATGTCCTCTGGCAAGTTACTAGAGAGAAAGAACTAGTCACCTTTGGTAATGGTGGGTAACTAATCACCTATTTATGATACTGTGAACTTTGCACAGGGAATGGTGAGTTCCTACACAATAAACTGCATTTCTCTCATAACAAGACGGCCTTCTCGATGAAAAGGAAATAATCGGAAGCCCCTTTTGGGCATGCACACCTTGTACTTTTGTAAAGTGTTTTCTATGCATTTCACCTGTTGGAAGGATGCTTGATTGAGGTCATCCATTCCATATCATTTTTGTTGATGCATTTTCCTTTTCTTGTTGAAACTTTACGATGGCCCCATACAAGGCATACCCGTCTGTAGTCTAGTGGTGCTACCAATTGTTCAAGGGATGCCCATCATGGCCATAAATCGTGTGGTATTGACTGGGAATTAAAGAGTATGATTTCATGTAAATGAGTTACAGGAATATATATAATATATATAACGTGAAGTATTTGCCATTTCCATCATTTGGCAATTGTGTCACGTCTTTGTAAATCTACTTGTTTTTTTTTATTAATTCGCGAGAGTTACTTAAAGGCATTTTACTGCAGACCACGTGATCTTTTGGCCACGTTGATTTATTTTTCAGTGGTAGTGTAATACATTTTCTGTTATTATTTAACAATACGGGTGAACACACAAGTCTTTTGCATCCTGTACCCCATAGTTGCAAACTGCTCCCCAATAACTTTTAAAATACCTATAAAGCTGATACTCCTTTCATGAGAGTTTTTTTATGCTGCTGGTTTTCTCTGTCGTGGTTCGAAGTACAACCATTCCGGTGAGCATGGATGTTGGTGGTTGTGATTTGAAGTTGGGTAGCCATATGTAGGTATGAATGAATACGATTTAAGTTTTGTTTTGTTGTAATGGTTGCACCAATGTTTTCTTGATCATCGAGTATGGAATAGAGGTTTCTGAAAAACAAATTTTGAAGGTATTTATTGAAAAAAAAACAATTGCTTTCTGGATTGATGTTTTTGGAAGGTTATTTTTTACTTTTGAAAAGCAAATTTTGGAACAATATATTAATGTTTTGAAATTATTAATCCATACACTTTTTTCAAAACAATCTTTTTAGAATATATTGTTTGTACATCATTTTGGAAAGTGTATTTAAGTTCTGAAAGGCAAGGCGTAGTTTAGAAGATAAAAATATGTATTACATACAATACATTTTTTTCCCTCTAGATTACATGTTTCAAAACATTAAAAATTTGTTCAATTTTGCTCTTTTGACACTTAAAATTTGATTTTGTTAGATTTATTATGAATGGAGACTTTTACATACATGTTCAAATGAATTATGTTTTGTCTTTTTATCTAATGCATAATGAATGGATGACATATGATTCTAGTGATCCTTTGGCAATAAATGAAGTAAATGTAACTATTATTATATAATTATGTTGATCGGTAAAGTTACTTAGAAAGTTTTTAAGGAACATAACATTGTAGTATATAGTAAACATACTTGTATGAAATAAGACTATATCGTAAAAAGATAATCATTTTCAAACGTTACAAGAAGAGTAACTTGTTTCATATTAGTTTATTCAAAACCTAAGTTATATCCAATTCTTCAATCTGCGAAGGATTATCCTAATAAACTAAATGATACAAACATGTATTCTCTATACCATTCATGATAATCTCAACTTTAAAATAAATACCTAAGTATTCTTTAATGTTAAGTCACAGCACACTTTCTACAAACAAATTTTATTATATAAATTTATAATCACAAAGTGAGGATATACAACGAATAACAAGTAATAACTTCGCTTCAAAATAAAAAAGGACGAATTGCTCACAAAAATAACTTATTAATTTATTTATTTTGTGTTTTTTGGGCTCATGAAAATAGGATATGTTCTTTATTTTTCTTTGTAAAAATAGGTGTAAAACATACATTTTTAGCTTAGGTTGTGTTTAGGCCTACTAAGCCTAAAAGGAGCGTAAAGAAGTAAGAAATATGAGGTAAGGCTATTGCTTAATATTAGGAAAAGACTTAAACACCCTTCACCATTGCACACAACACACCAAACCATCATTATTATAATTTCTACCACTACAGTTTTTCAGCAGCTGCTGCAAAGGAAGAAGAGAAGGAGAGCACTGCATGAGAAGAAGATAGAAAACGTAGAAAAAAAACTCATTTAATTTTTTTTCCAGAACATATTTCATGTGTTTTCAGAAACTTTTTCCAAAATACATTTCATATATAGATATTCTGGAAATATAATTTCGGAAGACAGTTTACGAGTTCTAGAAAGTTCTTTTCAAAAATTTCTTTCCGGAAAATTTATTCCAAAACACATTTTAGACATTTCAGAAATTTTGTTCCAAAATCATGTTCAGGAAATTTCGTTCATGTTAATTCAGAAATTTCGGAATGTTTGTTCTGGAAAGCTTATGGAATATATAATCCGGAAGTCGATTTTCCAGAGCGCAAAATCATCATTTCAAAAGTTGGAGCGAGTGGGCAAAGATATTTAGGGGTGCAGAAAACAAAAGCAGGTAATCATCCAAGGTCAACTAAGGCCCATGCATTGTTTGGCCGAGTCCCTCCTCTTTTACCATTCTATTTTCAGCCACATTCTATTTTAATTAACAACACATGAGGAGATTAAATCTTATTTATAATACACATTCATATGCTGATATAATCTGTAATCTTTTATGTAACCTATCATTATGTAATTTCATAATTTCGTTACAATTTCAATTTTAGTCGGTAAATTTTGTCACTAATTTGAATTTCCATTGTTAAATTACGTTGTTAAACTTAAAAACAAAGTAAAATAAAATAAAATAAAACATCGAATTGCCAATTAATTATACATGAACTTTAAGTCTAATTTAACTCTACAAAATCAGCTTATAAAATAATACATTTATATATTTTAAATTGATCTTATCTAATGTGTAACTTCCAAGAATTCTAAACTTAAATATGATGTCAGTTGTTAATTCTTTTTTATATGATAATTTAATTTTAATTATTTGTTGTCTTAGTGTTTTTGGTACCGTAACTTTGAATTAAGATATTAGCTTTGTTTTGTTTGAGTGATTGCAGTGGTAATTCTAATTTATCATCAAGTTATTATTTTTTCTAGTAAAGCTCTTTTATCTTTTGGTCTTGACAGTGTTGTTTTTATTAATAATTCGTCTATGGCTTAATCTTTTAAACTTCTTCTAAGTTTTGTCTTATGTTGTACTTTTCGCTTATGTATGAATAATTGTAACCTTATGGGCCAAGGACACATGTATCATTGTTATTCAAGAGGAATAAATCTAACATAAATGATCCCAAATTTTATGGCATCAATGAAATGAACAAGTAAAAAGTGGATTAAACTTTAATTTATAGTTAAACCAAAATAAAATAAAAAAAAAATATAATTTGTAATAATTGTTTAAAAATTGTGTTCCTTCTCTTTGTTATGTCTACTAAGCTTAGGTTTTGTAATAGTTAATATGCCTCACTTTCCTTTTTGATATTGTGTCTATTATGTCTAACTAATGCCTTTCTTGATGCATTTTTGCCTTTTGAGTTCTCAACCTATCTTCAGCTTATATTGAATTTAAAAAATGAAATATTATTTGAATACTGTAGTTGCCCAAAGAGTGTTAAGATGTGAGTCTGAATCCCTACCTCCCTTCTTTCTGTATTCATCCTGTTTTCTTCTCTCTTCTCCCTCAATTCATTTTATATAACTCTCTTATTAATCCTCCTCAACCTATTTATTAAGAATCCAGTTGCTCGTTATTTTAAAACTAAGTATATTTTTCAATTGTACTTTGATTTCAGTCTCCAACGTATTTTAATAGTAAAATTTCTATTTTTTAAATCTTGATATTTAATTAGATTAGTTTGGTGTGGCCATAATTTTGACAGATTAATGATTACATGCGTAGTCAGTGATAATATTTACTCATATGTTTCAATCAACGATTATCTATCGTTTTCCAATAATAACGTCATGTTCCCTTATCCACACCTTTTCCTAATTTAAAACATCTTTAACGTTTGTTTGTTTAGAATTAGTATCAGGTGACGTACACGAGACAGTTTTTATAACATGAAATGAATAATCAGTATTTTGTTTTGCCACAATTATTAAAAACTAAAATACATTACCACGTAACTTTTACAATGTTGTATTAACTTTTTTAAGCAAAAACGTTACTTGAAGAAAATCAAAATTTTTATTTATTATATACGTAAAATAATTACTTTTGGAGGATAAATTGTTTTAGATATTGGTTTCTAAGTAAAATAATTACATAAAAAATTATATGATCTATAAAAATTCATTTAACGCCAATTAATTTTATTTTCATAAGAGTAATGAGTAGTAAAATTCAATTTATTTCAAATTTGGCATTCATAACAACTGAACTAATAAAAAAAGACAATAAATTTTTTATATATCTATAGCAGCAAAACCTCAAAGTTAGCTCACCATGGTACAATCCAGCAAGCAAGTCAATAAGACACCATGTTGTTTTTGTTTTACCTCTCTCACCCTCCAATTCATGTAATTGAATGGGATCCCAAATTACACAATTGCTCAAGCAACTCACCAAAAGAAAACATTTCAGACCATAATGACCAAAATAAGGCAAAGCTGAAAACTATACAGAACCATTAAATCGATGATCGAGGGATCTCCACCTAATGTAAAATATTTTCATTTTTACACTTATTTTTATATCCAACAAAACCAATTATGAATGACAAACCAATTCATAAGACATCGCCTGATGCCATGTGACTAGACGAAGTGCTGGTTTCCTCTGCTACATTCTTCTGCTTTAAGGAAGTAGAATCAGCCGGTAATCCAGATTCTGAAACATCACCAATATCAAGTGTCTCTGGAAGAGTTCCCGAAGATTCATCTCCCTCTAACTGTAACACGAAAAGAAATGCCTCAAAATTGATTTTCAACTTAATGGATTTCGAAAGAGATCCATTAATACTTGATCTTAATACTAAAAGTATCTCCACCTAATGAATTGCCTTTAGATAATTAAATTATGATAATTCTATAAATTCATAATACCAGAAACTGTTAAACTAACATCAATTGGCACAGTATACCAT